TTTTTAATAATAAGTCTTATTTTAATTCTCACCAGCACATAGCAGACCCTGGTAATTATCATGAGAACAGTCGCTTTCATGTGATGGTGATGTTGGACAGAGGTGAATCTGAGACTCATTTCCTCTGCACTGAATCTCTTGTGTCCACATCTGAGCGACTCCTTTGTCAAAAGTAGCTGCTCCCAGCACCTCTACAGGAGCCCCACAGTCCAGCTCTCTACACACAACCTCTGCATCCTGCTGGTCAAAGGCAGCGTCACACACGGACATCCACGACTGATCATGAAGTATCTCTAACCTCCCAGAGCAACTGGTGTTTCCAATAAGCTTGACATCTGAAGTAATACAAGAGAAGAAACGTTTAAAAAAAAAAATTTCAAAAGCAATTGACACTTGTTTTCATACACTTTCGTTATCTCAGTGCGTAATGCTTTTCATTGCTGGTCAACCACAAAGTAACATTTACAGTGAAAAGGAATCAAAGAAAAATATTCAGCTGATTTAAGAAGGGTTCATTTAAAGGATTAGTTTACACACACACACACACACAGATAGACAGAGAGAGAGAGAGAGAGAGAGAGAGAGAGAGAGACGTTTGACATCTCTTTATTTATACAAAATTACTATTATTTTTTCCTTTTTTTTCCACAATTACCAACCATCATCACATAACATCAATTCTACACAAACATTTAATTACCTACCACCAAATTTAAAAATTAAGAATTAGTTCCCTTTCATGGGAACTTCGAACTGCGTCCTCTAGGGGTCGCTATGGGGAACGCCTCGTCGTGACCCGTGTCTGAAGCATACATTGGCTCTAATTCTTGAAGTCACGAAAGCTCTTAATATTATAACAGGGTCTACCAAAACGTCTTCATTTATCTTTTTTTCCCTTGTTACCCATATTGCCATTTTGGTTTCCGCTATTAAATTAATTATACCAATTCTTCTCTTATCTGAAGCCTTATAATTCGGCCCAAAAATTAAAATATTATCACTGAACTCGTCGCCTAGTTTTTCAATCCAGTTTTCTAATATCAGAAAAACACCTCTCAATCGCGAACAAAATAAGAACAGGTGATCAACTGATTCCTCCAAATCACAAAAGGGACACTTCTTTTCTACAATGGGATCGATATGTGCCACGTGTCTGTTAAAATATTAAAAAATTAAAATGTTATCACTGAACTCTTCGCCTAGTTTTTCAATCCAGTTTTCTAATATCAGAAAAACACCTCTCAATCGCGAACAAAATAAGAACAGGTGATCAACTGATTCCTCCAAATCACAAAAGGGACACTTCTTTTCTACAATGGGATCGATATGTGCCACGTGTCTGTTTGTAGCTACTGCCCAATGTATAATTCATACAATGACCTCCAGCACCTTCTAGGAGAAGAGTTTGGCCCCAACACAACACATCTGACCACTTTGTTTCTCTACATTCCCTCAGAATTGCCTGGTGAGCAACTTTTACACAAGTCAAATACAATGTTTTCTTTGAAGCCTCTTTGAAACCATGTATCTCTGTAGTCCTAAAAGAGAGGATTGATTCCTCTTGTGGTTCTTCTTCCACCAAAGCCGAAACATTGAGTTCAGGAAAAAAATCCTCCTTTATCTCTTGCTCTTCTTCATTCAAATCCTCTTCTCTTAATTTTCGATAATGAGGAGGAGGAAAAAATGAAAGTCTCATCCATTACATGTTTCATGAATCTGACGGACTTGATTCCTGTCAGATCACATTCCCTCTGGGCTTTTCCACTCATCATAATGTTTTAAGTCCATTATCCTTGTGCATCCAACTCTTGCCATTACTTTCTGAAGGCTTCTTGAATTAAGCACCTTTACTTGAAGTAAAGGATTATTAAAAAGAGGCTCTTTGTTTATCCAGGGCTCAGAAAAAGGCAGGTCTCTCTTCACTTGAAAAATTGAAGTCCATGTTCTCAGCATAGTTTTATAAAAAGCAGATGTTTCTTTTAAGTCCATTTCTGTTAAATTAATTAAAAACAAATGTAAATCATATTTAAATACATCAACTTTGTGTAACAGGGTTTTAGCTGTTTCAGTCCAGCACCTATTCGAGTACAGCAACTTTTGTGCTGCCTGCAGCCTGAAAGTCTTAATTCTGCTATTAATATCTATTAATCCTTGTCCACCTTAATTCACTGGTAAGAAAAGAACGGCAGCTTTAGTCCAGTGTTGTCCAGTCCAAAAAAAATCCACTAACCTTTTTTGTAATTCATGGATCTGGTGGATCCAGGACATTCATTTTGTGCCACAGTGCCGAAGCTGCTAAATTATTTGTGACCAAAACTCTTCCTCTATAGGATAACTGTGGTAGCACCCATGACCACTTAGACAACCGGCAACACATCTTCTCCACCATTCCTTCCCAATTTTTCATCTTAAATGTTTCAGTCCCTAAATAAACCCCTAAACATTTCAGCCCCTCTTGACTCCACTTAACAAAACCTGGGAGCTCTGGTGGATTTTCGTTTACCTTTTGTCCACAATAAAAACCTTCACTTTTCCCAATTCACTCTTGCAGTTGATGCATTTTCATACATTTTCAATGTTTCTTTTAAACCAGACACATCTCTCTCATCCTTAATAAAAATTGTAACATCATCAGCATATGCAACAAACTTAATAGGTTTTTCAACAGAAACCCCTTGTAATGTTTTCTTTAACTTACAAAGTAAGGGTTCAATGGCCAATGAATACAACATCCCTGATAACGGGCATCCTTGTCTAATTCCTCTCAACACTGGAATAGGCCGACTGAGCCCACCCCCCACTTTCAACATTGCAGATGCATCATTATACAACATTTTAGTCCATGAAATGAAACTCTGACCAACCCCAAAAGCTTCAAGCGTTTTAAACTTGTTCCTGCCTCTTCACAATGCATCCTTTTGTTTTCTCCATCACAATTATTTTTTTCCCCCTTGTTTCCCTAATTTCTTTTCACTCGATTCCTTCTGTCCTATATCTTCAGTAGATTCACTTTGTTCAGGAGTACACAGTTTATTATTTGCACTCTGCTCTTTATCAGTTCCATTTTCTATCTCTATTTCTTTACTTTTATCTGCATTCTCCGCTTTCACCAGCACCGCATGTTCACCTTCATTTGTTTTGTTGGTATTTCCTTCTGTTTGTGTTTTTTTGCGGGCATCCATTTTTTTATGCCCAAAATTACCGCACTCAAAGCATTTCAAATGATTGGTACTCGCATAGATTATATATGATTTGTCTTCATGTTTTACCCGAAACTAGATATCTAGCGTCGGTGATTCTAAAACCATAAACAACTGCCACCTAAAAGACAACACGTGTTTTAGGGCTTCATTTTTACACCCGAGTGGAATTAATGTCATTCCACTTACTAATTTCCCAAACCTCTGCAGTTCATTTTCAATGCATGCATTAGGTATATATGGTGGACAATTAGAAATGTTCACCCTTGTCGACTGCGATACCAACGGAGAAACAATAACAAATGCTCCACTTACCCAAACACCGCTCACGATGAATTTACTCACAAAACTTCGATCCTTTAGAAAAACCACCACGACCTTGTTCATTTTGGATGCAAATACAATATTTTCAAATCCTGTTTGTTCTCCAATCGCCACGAGCACGTCCTCGACCGTCGCACCGGCGTCAGGCACACACCTGACTCCATGGTGGAGTGACAGAGAGGAAACCTCCATCCCAGTCTTCCGCCACGAGGCCAAAAAAAACTTCTACCTAGCAGCCTATTACTCCTCAAAAATTCTAAAATATTTAAATTAACCCTATAACTATAACCTACATAAACATTTAGAAAAAAAGAAACAAGAATAGTCAAGAAAACTACCCCCAGAAATGCTCCTCTCACCAGTGAGACGCTCACATTCCCCAAACTCCCAGCATGCACAGAGAGAGAGAGAGAGAGAAAGAGGTCATCATTTACCCACTCTCATGGCAATCCAAACTACGGCTGTGCAATATTGATAAAAAATTACATTCTTCAAAAATGTTTGTAAAATTGCTTATTATTAGCATGTTCTTGTACTCCTGTAGGTCACTTCAACTTGATTTCCTGGGGTATTTTTACCTTCATAAGGGCAATTGTTCTGACCTTATTTCACGAGTTCCCCTGCCCATCCAGTCTTAATAGTTAATGGTAAACAAACTTGGCTTGCTGTTCTCGACAGATGATCGAACCTGAGGCTTGGCTTGAGCTCTGAGTTCAACCCCCTACACAGAGTACTACACAGAGACGGAGAATGACAGAAATAGTGGAGATGGGGAGGTGGAGGGATGCCGGAAGAACTGTCACTGGGATGGCACAACGACTGCTGCTTATATACGCTCGTAATGATGATTGACAGGACTGAATGATTAGGCTCCTCCCAAACCTATGTTTGGAACTTCATTAAATGTACGTATGTCATCTTTTATGCAAAATTCTTAAAAAGAGCACTCTTATGTGATATTTTGTTGCTATATCATACTATGTTCTGAATGTAAAATATATATATATATATATAAACATACATATACATATATTCATTTTTTAGGATTATTTGAATAATATTAAGTTCAAAAGAACAGCATTTATTTGAAATAGAAATCGTTGTAACATTATAAATGTCTTTACAGTCACTTTTGGTCAATTTAATGGATCTTTGCTAAATAAAACTTTTTTTCTTTTTTTATTCTTACATACTCCAAACATTTGAATGGTAGTGTATCACGGTTTCCACAAAAATATTAAGCAGCACAACTGTTGGATATTGACATGTTTTTATCATGTGACACTGAAGACTGGAGTAATGGCTGTTGAAGATTCAGCTTTGCCATCACAGGAATAAATTATATTTTAAAATATAATAAAATAGAAAACTGTTATTTTAAAATGTAATAATATTCTACAATATTACTGTATTTTTCATCAAATGCAGAAAGACTTCTGTCAAAACCATTAAAAAATCTTAACTATTCCAAAATTTTGACCAGTAGTGTACGGTCATAAAAGTCATACCGGTCGGGAAAGTCATGAAGGTGAGTAAATAATGAAATAATTTTCATTTTTGGGTGAACTACGCACTGAGGGAGGTGGATCATCAGTAAAAATAGGATGAGGTTTGGGCCAGATTACCTGAGCAGATGACTCCTGCATCCTTAGTATGATCACAGTCATAAAAAACCACTTCTGCTGACATACAGTTCTTAAGTGTTGACTCTGATCCATTACATAACTTGAAATGTGACCAGATTGGCCCTGATCCTGGTCCAAAATGAGCACCACCAAGAGCATCTACAGGTTCTCCACAGTCCAGCTCTCTACACACCACTGCAGCTTCAGTCATATCCCAGCCATCACCACACACGGTTCCCCACTGACCTCTATGAAGAGCCTCCACTCGACCAGCACATGGATTGTTACCATCAACCAACCTCACTCTAATATTGCCTATACAATGGAAAAGAGTGGGAATAAAAAAAAAAGTATTAAAAAAAGTTTCAAAAAAGAAAAAAAAAACTATAGTGAAACTAATATTTAGTCTACATTTAGGAACATAACATTTTATTTCAGTTTATTTAAAAAAGGACCAAACCTGCACACACCAGACCAACATCATTGTAATGAGAACTATTGTTTTTATGTGATGGTGATGTTGGACAGAGGTGAATCTGAGACTCATTTCCTCTGCACTGAATCTCTTGTGTCCACATCTGAGCGTCTCCTTTGTCAAAAGCAGCTGCTCCCAGCACCTCTACAGGAGCCCCACAGTCCAGCTCTCTACACACAACCTCTGCATCCTGCTGGTCAAAGGCAGCGTCACACACTGACATCCACGTCTGATCATGAAGTATCTCTAACCTCCCAGAGCAGCGAGAACCTCCAACCAGCCTGACTTCTGAAAGAGCAACATTTAAGTTGACTGGTTACAGTATATTGACTGGTATATGAATCAATATTGATTCATATACCAGTCAATATACTGTAACCAGTCAACTTAAATGTTGCTCTTTCAGAAGTCAGGCTGGTTGGTGGTTCTCGCTGCTCTGGGAGGTTAGAGATACTTCATGATCAGACGTGGATGTCAGTGTGTGACGCTGCCTTTGACCAGCAGGATGCAGAGGTTGTGTGTAGAGAGCTGGACTGTGGGGCTCCTGTAGAGGTGCTGGGAGCAGCTGCTTTTGACAAAGGAGACGCTCAGATGTGGACACAAGAGATTCAGTGCAGAGGAAATGAATACAATATTTTCAAATCCTGTTTGTTCTCCAATCGCCACGAGCACGTCCTCGACCGTCGCACCGGCGTCAGGCACACACCTGGCTCCATGGCGGAGTGACAGAGAGGAAACCTCCATCCCAGTCCTCCGCCACAAGGCCAAAAACAACTTCTATCTAGCAACCTATTACTCCTCAAAAATTCTAAAATATTTAAATTAACCCTATAACTATAACCTACATAAACATTTAGAAAAAAAGAAACAAGAATAGTCAAGAAAACTACCCCCAGAAATGCTCCTCTCACCAGTGAGACGCTCACATTCCCCAAACTCCCAGCATGCACAGAGAGAGAGAGAGAGAGAAAGAGGTCATCATTTACCCACTCTCATGGCAATCCAAACTACGGCTGTGCAATATTGATAAAAAATTACATTCTTCAAAAATGTTTGTAAAATTGCTTATTATTAGCATGTTCTTGTACTCCTGTAGGTCACTTCAACTTGATTTCCTGGGGTATTTTTACCTTCATAAGGGCAATTGTTCTGACCTTATTTCACGAGTTCCCCTGCCCATCCAGTCTTAATAGTTAATGGTAAACAAACTTGGCTTGCTGTTCTCGACAGATGATCGAACCTGAGGCTTGGCTTGAGCTCTGAGTTCAACCCCCTACACAGAGTACTACACAGAGACGGAGAATGACAGAAATAGTGGAGATGGGGAGGTGGAGGGATGCCGGAAGAACTGTCACTGGGATGGCACAACGACTGCTGCTTATATACGCTCGTAATGATGATTGACAGGACTGAATGATTAGGCTCCTCCCAAACCTATGTTTGGAACTTCATTAAATGTACGTATGTCATCTTTTATGCAAAATTCTTAAAAAGAGCACTCTTATGTGATATTTTGTTGCTATATCATACTATGTTCTGAATGTAAAATATATATATATATATATAAACATACATATACATATATTCATTTTTTAGGATTATTTGAATAATATTAAGTTCAAAAGAACAGCATTTATTTGAAATAGAAATCGTTGTAACATTATAAATGTCTTTACAGTCACTTTTGGTCAATTTAATGGATCTTTGCTAAATAAAACTTTTTTTCTTTTTTTATTCTTACATACTCCAAACATTTGAATGGTAGTGTATCACGGTTTCCACAAAAATATGATATTGACTGGTATATGAATCAATATTGATTCATATATCGATCATAAGAAATGTAAAAAAAAAACACACATTATTGAAAATCATATTTTTCTTCATCCTCTGAAAATAGATATTTACTATGTATGTGAGATATCTGAATACACATGACCAGCCACATTTTCATGTCAATGATCTCATGTCATGTCTATTTGTTAGAAAACATGTCTGTTTGTAAGAAATTTGGTCTGCCCAGCAAGGTTATTTTCGTAAACGTAAACTAAAACTAAGACTAAAACGACTGATGAAAAAACTATTTCGTAAATTGAAATAAAATAAAAACGTCAAAATATTTGAAAAACTAAAACGAAACTAAACTAACAACAGTTATTGAAAAACTAACTGAAATAAAATAATAATTATCAAAAAGAAATAGGCCTAATCGTTTTCGTAATCATTATGTTCTCACCCCTTGGTGGAAAAATATACAGCTGTGTGGAGGTTTAGGGAAATAGCCGTAATGGCGCATCACGCACATGGGGTTATCTGACGGAGAGACGCAGTTTAAAGCCTGCACGGGTGCTGTTTGGTAAAGTACTCAGTACTTAACAGAACACCCGACCCATTATCTGACAGCAGCACTCCTTATTGAATTTATCATAGATTCCTGTCATTCCTCAAACATTAAATATGCCCAATCCAGACTAAGGTCTTTTGTACTGTGAACTCTTACCAGCACACAGCAAACCAATGATGTGTTTCTGAGAACGGTTGCTTTTGACTAATAGTGATGTTGGACAGAGGTGAATCTGAGACTCATTTCCTCTGCACTGAATCTCTTGTGTCCACATCTGAGTGTCTCCTTTGTCAAAAGCAGCTGCTCCCAGCACCTGTACAGGAGCCCCACAGTCCAGCTCTCTACACACAACCTCTGCATCCTGCTGGTCAAAGACAGCATCACACACTGACATCCACGTCTGATCATGAAGTATCTCTAGCCTTCCAGAGCAGCGAGAATCTCCAACCAGCCTGACTTCTGAAAGGACACAGATTAAAAAAAACATAGATTAGTATATATATATATATATATATATATATATATATATATATAAAACATTTATGGATCCTCAAGATCATGATTTATACATAATTTTAGTCTTTGAATAAATAAATAATATAAAAATACAAAAGGAACTATTTATTATTGTCAACATTTTTAAATCAACTTCTTTAGAAGTCAGTATGGAAGCACAAAAATCTTATATAGATATGAATAAAAAATATGTTAAATACTTTACCTGAGCAGATGACTCCAGCATCTTTAGAATGATCACAGTTATTTTTACCCCATCCAAATGACCAACAGTTCTTTAATGTGGACTCTGATCCAGTACAAAAGACAAAAGTCATCCAGATTGGTCCTGATCCTGGTCCAAAATGAGCATCACCCAGAGCATCTACAGGTTCTCCACAGTCCAGCTCTCTACACACCACTGCAGCATCAGCCAAATCCCATTCCTCATCACACACTGTTCCCCACTGACCTCTATGAAGAACCTCCACTCTACCAGCACAGTGACTGTGACCACCAACCAACCTCACATTCACACTGTCTGAAAATTGAACAGAGACAATGAGAGAGAGATGAAGGGATGAGAGCGTTTAAGAATCACAAATTGGGACACATATATCTGAATATTTAAATGAATATTCCGATTTCAAGTTGAGCTCAATCAACATCATTTTTGGTATGTTAACATAAAAATTAATGTTTATTCCTCCCTACTTTAAAAAGAAAAGCAAATTTGAGGCTATAGTGAGGCATTTTTACACTAAAATCATGTTAACACACATTGTTTAGTATTTAAGGTTTACAGCTTGACCCTCATTCACTATTGAAAATTACTGGCTCACTTTAAGCCAGATTGTGTGTGTGTGTGTGTGCGCGTGTGTATATAAATATATATTTAAGCAGGAACAAGAAATACATTTTTGTGGAACACAAAACGATGATGTCAACTTTAATATTTCAGACCCCCCACAACATAATATATATTAATCAAGGAATGATTAAATTTTCTTTGGTAAAAAATGTTCATGGGACTGACTCAAAATAACATGTCTGTCAGTGATATTTCCAAATGAATGTTTATCACATCAGAGTATCGTTGCAGATACTCTAGTGACTCCAAAAGTCCGATGAATTTCACTGCCATCCAACTCAAGGGACCGAGACATGTGCTTATAATGAATATTAACATTATTTTGAGACTCCATGAGAGAGAGAAATAATAGAGAGAACTGCCTGATAATCAATACAGGATCAAATTCAACATACTGTGCAAATGCAATTACCCTGTCATCTAAAACAACATATTACAGTACAGTTTAATTTTAAGTGACTAAAGAACACAATCCCGACCCCTTCTAAAAATAACTTTTTTGATTTCAAATGTACTTACCAGTTGTGGTGAGTATTACCACTGAAATCAGTAAAATGAGTGTCAAGCATCTCCCCATCATCCTCATCCTCAGCATGATCAACTCAACACCCAGTACAAGCTTCTCCGCTCTGATGATACAGAAGTGCAGGCATCCTCTCAGCCCCTTAATGAGAGAGAAAGAGTCCCAACACCCTCCAATCACACTCGCTATTACCTTATTAGACACAACAGAGGAAATCATCAAACAACTTCAGTGACAAATCAGAGGACGCTTTTCTGACTTTCACCATTTATAAATATATACATCAAAGCTGTCAGTGCTGATGAACTCCTCCTCCCCACACATCAAGATGCCTCACTGAGGGGATGTATACACACACATGATACTTACAGGAGACAGGAAATTCTCCAGTTTATTTACAGCATCAACACCTGCAGTGACAAGATAAAAGCACTGATAACTGAATGTCCAAAACATTGTCTGTTAATGTTTACATATATTAGCATCACATTAACACACAAACAAAACTCAACTCAAGACCAAGAATGAAAAAGCATTTTTCTTTTAAAAGTTTACCAAGAGCAAAGTGCACAAAGCCCTTTTTTGTTAAGATTTTGTTAAACATTTGATCTAGATCTCAAAATATTTCCTGTGACTCATGTGAAATTGACTTCATTGCATAACAGTGGTCTCTTTCAGTTGGTCCACAAAACTCACAATCATGAACGCAATAAAGAAAAAAGTGAAGATTAGCTCACCTTGTGACCAGCAGAGAGAGCCATGTACTGCATTCTGTATTGCACATACTTGAAAAATGAACCTCCATAGACTTTAGTATAAAATAAAATGTAGTTTTGTTGTATTTCAATAATAATAATAATAATAATAATATATTACCGGTAGTTTCACACAAATTGTGAACAGTGAAACAGATATTGAATAAAGATGGATAATAAAATAATTAAGCATTGCATAACATTTCAATTAAACCCAACCCATTAAACCCAACACCGCATTAAGAAATAACTGCGGTTGGTTTACATGTCACTCATACTGTCTCTTTGTATATACATTTTCCTTTCGGTGATGTTTACAGGCAAAGTGTGAGTCTGAGTTCACTCTCTATTGTAAAGTCTATAAGTTATGTACACACTGTAAAGTTTCAAGAGTGACAACCGCATTTAAACACAGGAGTGAATCCGCTAAATTACATTTCACTCAGTAACAATCGAACAATCCTTCTTCAGACTGCTGCTTAGAAACTGAATCTTTGCAGGAAGTCAGAGGACCTGGTACTGAGAACAGTTCGACAGCACATGAAGGTCATACGTGGTAATTCAGTTTCCTTCTCCATTTCTCCTGCTTGTCAGCTTCAAAACGGTCTTTAAGATCAACATATTATTCACAGCAGATCAGCTAGGGTGAGCGTGATTTGACCAAGTACAACATGTTCCTGAATCAACATCCTTGTTGATCCAGGAACATCATTCCAATCAACCAATCAGAATTGAGAGATAACTTTTCAGGAAATGTCAGTTTTAGGCTTACAATCAAGATTCCTTCTACGCCCTTGTTAATCAGCTATCATTTCCCTCTGATTTTAGGAATAAATTATGGGTAAGGTTAGGTTTAGGGGTAGGGATTGGGTTTAGGCTGTATTTTTGGACAGTAATGTTGATCCAGGATCAACAAAAGATGTTGGTCCAGGAACATGTCTTACTTGGCAAAATCACAACGACCATCAGCTAGGACTGGTAGAACATACTTACCCCATCAAAGCCCTACAAGTACAGCCATCTCAGAGGACTGCCTATTCTGCCCTTGACAAAGCTCATCCACTCTTGTTAACTGGCTCTGATTATCATAGGGGTCAAAGGATGCCCATTTTCCACAAGTTGATATGATTCTTTAGGGTCTTAATGAAAAGTCTGTAACATAGTTTGGTTAAAATTTCTCAATGGTAGTGTAAAAAACACCTTTTTTACCCTGTTAAAAACAGCTCTTTTCAGATCAAGCCGTTTTTGTAACATTTTCCTTTAAATGTTAATGAGCTCTGCTGACCCCGCCCCTCTCTTCTGAGCTGCTCTCAGAGAGACTGTTTACTTTAGCCGCATTCATCGTGAAACTTGCTAATTAGCACATTATTAGGAAAGGCGATTTGCAAAGATTCATTACAAAACGTTATACTCACTTCTTCTGTAGATGAGGCTGGATCATGAATGATTCGCACTAACATAGACGCATTTAGGCAGATCGGGGGCGCATTCCCTTCAGAAACAATGTAATCCACTGCGAGTTCAGCG